GCGCCCAGTTTCGTCCCCCTTCTTCTCTCCCCGCACCTCCACCCCCGCCTCCCCGCGCGCGCCACCTGCCCCGATCCACGTGAACACGGAAATCAAAAGTTCACCTGGCGCGCAGGCCCTCCTGCCCGCCAGCCCGGGAGCCGGGGCGGCTCGTTGAGACTCCGCCCCTCGGGCACTTGGTCAGCTCCACCCGGCTTGGAGGTCCGCCAAGGCGGTGCAGGGCACCCCACATCTGATGGGGTGATGGCGGTACCTGGTAAATATCCAGTTCACGTCCATCCATAGTCTCTCTCCCTCTGTCTGTCTCTGTCTCTCCGTCTCTCCTTCTGTCTGTCTCTCCTTTCATTCATTCCGTGGTTTAGCTCTCCTGTCCCCTCGTCTGGGCGCGTAAAAAATCCACGCGGCATTTTGCAGAACTTGGAAATAATCGCTCAGCACCAATGGCGATCGGTGACGCCGAGGGCGTCCTTGGAGCACATTCGGGGAGATCATCTAATCTGATGGATGGCGAGAGGGCTGCGGGGAGCAGAGCTGCCTCCGAGGGTGAAAGAAAGGGCGGAGAACTGGGTTCGTGACCAGGTTGTTCAGAGGAGTAGACCTCCGGTGTGGCCGGGGCTCGGTAGGCAGGTGGGTGCCTGGCCAGAAGTGGGAACCGCAGTGCAGAGGAGGGCCTGTAAGAGATGCTTAAACTCTAACGACCTCAGAGTCCCGAAAGCTTCGGGAGCAATGACTGATCCACCTCTCGGAGGTGATGGCCAAGTCTGGAGAGAGGCAGGATGGGCCGCTGAAGAGTCTGGAATCTATTGCTGAGTTCCCTTGGGGTACTGGCCGTGAAACTGGACAGAGAGAGGGTAAATACTAGTTTTAATGGCTGTCCCCATTAGGTCCCCCGACCTTCCTCTGCGGGGTCACAGCCTTAGCGCTAGCTCGAGCACCACCTCGCGGCCTCTGGGGATTATTACACCTAGAGGGGCCATGGGGAAGGGGGACCCTGAGGAATGTCAGCCCCACCAAGGCCACGTGATCTTTGGAATCCTCTCCACTCCCCAGCTCCAACCCACAGCTGGCAGATGTGCATAACTTTTCGCCTTAAAACAATAATATTTTTTTTTTTGATTGAGGTTTCTTGTTTGTATTGAGAGAGCTTCTCTAGTATCCCTGGCTGGTCTTGAGTTTGATAAGTATCAGGAGGCTAACCTTGAACTTCTGATCCTTCTATCTCTACCTCTCTGAGTTAGGGGAACACAGGTCCGCACCATCCTGCCTGGCTTACACTTTAACTTTTGAGATTTAAAGTGAGATTTGGCAGTGGACTTTGCACCCTCCACTATAGCAATCTTGGAGGAAAGGATTCCAGCTTTCGAAGGGAAGCCTCATTCAGATCTGAGTCCCAGGGCCAGCTTCTGACTGGGACAGATCCTCCTGCCTTCAGGGTTAACTCTCCTGGTTGTCAGAGAGAGGAAATAAATATGTATATAAGGATTTAGCATGCAAACGAGGTACTTAAATAGTAGGCTTATGTTCAAATCAAAAGTAAATATACTTTCATGGAAATATTGAATATCTTTTCACACACTCCATAAAAAGTTATCATTTACTAACTTCATCTCTCCCTGTTACCTTTTCTTTTAAAAAATAAATTGGCTTGTTTGAGACAGGGTCTAACTGTGTAGCCCTGGCTGGCCTGTAAATCACAGCTAGCCACCATGTCTCCCAGGTGCTGAGATGAATTTTGACCACCACCCCGGGCTTTTAGTTAAAATTTTAAAATCACATTTCGGTTTGTTTTGTGTATATGTGTAGGTCCGCACATGTGAAGGTCAGAGGGAGTTTGTGGGAGTTCCTTCTGGCTTTCCACTGTTGCAGGACCCCAGGACTGAACTGGGGTCACTCAGGCTTGACAGCGGATCCTTTATCTGCTGAGCCATCTCACTGGCCACAGCTTTCTTTTTCAGGTTGTTTCTAAGAAAGTGAATTTGGACAGCTGCTGGCTGGCTCTAACAGGTTTGGCTCTGTGGACTGTGAATGAAGCAAAGACAATCAGGAGCATTGTTGACCAGTGAGGAGGAATTCACTGAGTGAGTCAGGTGGGCTCTGGTGACCTTTTCCATCCCAGTCAATACTTTATGAATAGTCATGTCTTTCTACACTGAAGTCCTCAGCCGGATTAAGGGAAAGATTTAGGATCCGGTAGCAAGGAGGATTCAGAAAGACCAACTGGCCCTACCGCCTTCCATTATACCAATCCCTTTCTTGAATATGAAAGAAAATGTCTCCATAACAAAATCCACAGGGGCCAGTGACAGTGGATAAAGCTGCTTGCTGCCAGCATCAGGACCAAAGCTCAACTCCTGGAACCCACATGTTGAGAGGAGAACGCCAACTCCCACAAGCTAAGAAAAATTTGGAAGCCAAGCATGTCATCCAGGCTCACGATCCCAACATTCTAGGCTAAGGCAGGACTTCACTGACAGCCTGGGCCATAGAGTAAGATCCTGTCTCATAAAAGGGCAGACAGGCTAGGTGCAGTGACTCACGTCTGCAGTCCCAGCACTTGGGATCCATGCAGGCAAACTCATACACACAGAATAAAAATACATCTTTTTTTTTTGTTTTGTTTTTGTTTTTGTTTTTGTTTTTGTTTTTCGAGACAGGGTTTCTCTGTGTAGCTTTGTGCCTTTCCTGGAACTTGCTTTGTAGACCAGGCTGGCCTCGAACTCATAGAGATCCGCCTGGCTCTGCCTCCCGAGTGCTGGGATTAAAGGCGTGCGCCACCACTGCCCGGCTTCATTTTAATATTTCAAAGCTAATATATTATGGGATTTCCAACCAAGTTTCACTAATGAAAACAGTAGTCATTAGGCCATCTCCCACAGTGAAGTGTGGCAGGAAGAAGTCTCTCATCAGCCTTTGACATACCAATCCCTCTTTTTGCCATCCACTGCTTATTTTGTGTATCTTATTGCAATTTGTGCTTATATTTTTTTAGCCCTTCTGTTATAATACACAGCTGCAGGAAAGGGCATACCTTATTTGTGTATATAGTATACATGTCCTAGTTTGCTTAAATAAGAGAAATTAAATAGAATTATAAGCCTAATATGTTTCCAAAGTAATTAGAAAACTTCAAACTAGATTTTGGTTCAGCCTGATGACCTAATCAATTTTATCCTTAACCTTGAGTGACCCCGAGTATGACTCCATGACTATGAAGATGAGATCTGAGATATAAAATTGAAACCTTATAGGCATCTATCTCCTGCTGCCAAGCTTGGACAGAAATACAGTCCTAGACTTTTGATTTTTTGAGATAGGATCCTCTATAGTTTGTGCTGACCTTAAACTTTAGCTTGCTGTGTATACAAGGGTGACTTGAACTCTTGATCCTCCCAAGTGCTTAAATTATAGGTGTATATTACCACACTGAGCTTCCCTGTTGATTAAAAAAAATAAAATAAAAACAGCTTGTTGTTGATAGCCACTGGAAATCTGTGTCTTCTAGGTCTGGAAAGAGCTGTTGAATACCATAGTTTACAGTGGGAAAACACTACCCTCTAATTTTTTTCTTTCTCAGTCCAGACACTCAAGCTTTGGTTCTACAGCTGTTCTCGATACTCCAGGCTAGCTGGCTCTCCCCACCTTCCAGATGATTCTCCTGTCTCCATTACCATCTTATTAGCCCTTTCATCCATTTAGATAGAAAGATAGAGAGGCAGAGAGGTAGAGAGATAGGCAGGCAGGCATATAGCCTTTACCTCCTACTTTCACAGATTTATCCCAGTAAATGTCCTTGTTAGAGTTAGGGTCCATGACTATCAATCACGGCAGGGAGCATAGCATCAGGCAGGCATGCATGGCACTGGAGTAATCGCTCTAAGAGCTTACATTTTGATCCAGAAGCAGAAGGCAGCAGAGGGTGAGTGTTGCTGTTTGCCTGGTGAGGTCTCTAGCCCCTGGGGGCAGGGGATGAGGAGAAGCAGAGGCAATGACACAGACTCCGGGAGTCTGCAAGCAAGCTCGTTTATTTTTAGGAAAGGGTAAGCCTTATATACCCTCCTCTCCATCCTGAGCAAAGGTCTGCCTTAGTGCTCAATACTAAGTTGGTGCTTTCTGATAGGCTCTGGAATCCGCTGGCCGTTGCTGGCCTCAAGCCCCCCTCCCCCTCGGCTATTTTTGCAGGGTGCCTAGACATTGTGGGAGCAGAATAGCACATGCTCTAGCTGATCTGAAACGTGTAGCAGTTCTGTCTGCCTCAGGTGAGCTGGGAGTGGAATGTACTTTTGGAAAACACCCCTGCTGTCACCTTCTTCAACAAGGTCAACCTCCTAATCCTTCCCGGAGAGTTCCACTAACTGGGCACTAAGTATTTAAATAAATGAAGCTATGGGGACCATTCTCATCCAAACCACCACAGACTATAACCCTCTGAAACTGTAAGTCCTAAATAAACCCTCTCTTATGTTAGTTGCCTTGGTCATGGTGTGTAGCTAGAGTTTTCTTGCCTTGCCCACAGTCAGGACAAATCTCTGTCACCCACCAGTCCCACAGCCACTCAGACCCAACCAAGTAAACACAGAGACTTATATTCTTACAAACTGTATGGCCATGGCAGGCTTCTTACTAACTGTTCTTGTAGCTTAAATTAATCCATTTCCATAAATCTATACCTTGCCACGTGGCTCGTGGCTTACCAGCATCTTCACATGCTGCTGGTCATGGCAGCGGCTGGCAGTGACTCCTTCTGTCTTCCTGTTCTTTCTTTTCTCCTCTCTGTTAGTCCCACCTATACTTCCTGCCTAGCCACTGGCCAATCAGTGTTTTATT